CATTTTTTGAACCCTTAATTAAAATTTTTAAAATTAATTACAACTTTCTCTTTTATTTTGAGACATAACTATAGAAATTATTTAGCATTGTTTCACACAAAAGATAGTTTAAATTTATTTTAATATTTTTAGTAATTTCATTAAGTTTTGTTTTATAAATTTGTCTGCTTTTTAAAAATTTATATATATATATATATAAAATTATTAAAAATAATGTTAAAACTAAATCTGTATTCTGCACATAACCAAAGATTATTATTCGAAAATCAAACTTGAAGAATAGTTGCTATGGGAGTAAATGAATAGCTGTCTCTTCAACTCCAAGTCTGAGTCAATAGTGAAGTCTTTTTGTGTTTCCTATCCGTATGCAAAGACCTTCCTTTTCCTTTGTTAACTCTTTCCATGAATTTATGCCAAGTCCACAGAGAGAGTTAACAGGTGGTCCTTTAGAAAAATGAATTGTAGACTCCATCTGCAACCATGTGTGACATAAGCATACACTGATTCTTTGTAAAGTGTTGGTTTCAGTTTCAGTGAGGACAAAACATTTTGCTTTTAATATATATACAGAGTAAACAACAATTTTTAGGTAATTTCAATGTTCCAAACTAAATGATATTCTCAGACTTTTTAGTCTGAGAATATCATCTAGTATTTTTTACAAGATGATATTCTCATTCTACCAGGAGGTTCATGTGAGATGCCTCATCCAAGGATTTCATTATGGTATTACTATTTTATGTATCAGTTTCAAATCCATCTGAAAAATTTCAAAATATAACTTAGTTTATGTATGCATTTTTTTTCTGAAAATTTCTTACTGTTTTTGAGATAAAAAAATAATTGTCATGACTTATCAAATGACCTTCCATAAGGGGCATTGCAAAAGTTTAGGTCCACAAATATAAACAAACACGGGCATTGCAAAAGTTTAGGTCCACTCCATTCAGTTAAGCAAACACAACACAAACACATCTAAAGAAACCAACACATACATTTATTTGTGTGCTATAACGAGCAAAAATTTTAAAAAAACTAATAGGTAGGTTTAAAATTAATAAATACAAATGTATTCTGACAGTGAATGAGTTAATTATGCTTTCTATTTGCAAAATTCCTCAACCTTAACACAAAATAAGAAAAAAAGTGAATTTTTAAGAAATTTGCGGGATTTCCCGGGATA